TGTATGGATTGTGATGAGTTGTACGAGCCCCTAATAAAATGTTTTAAAAAAAAAAAAAAGAGGAGGCTTTCTGCTCCCGTAAAGAACCTCCAAAACACACAGCCTCAATTCTACTATGATTCCTAATCGACTCCGTGGCAGTGAGTGGTGGGTTTTCCCCCCTCCCTCCAGGTGGTTGTGATGAATGAGCTAATAAGTACATGGAAACCATGCAGTGTAACAGTGCAGAGAAAGCCCTTAGTACGTGTGATTGCTATGTAACGACAGAAACAAACCAAACTGCGCTGACCCATGATGACCCCGCTTGTCTGCCCAGTTGGGTTTTCTTGTGGGGTCATCTTTTCAGAAGCAGGCGTTTCCTCTGAGGCTGCTGTGTGCATTAGGAACCGCCAACCTTTCCATCAGTAGCTGAACTATTTGGGCCTCTCAGGGACCTAGGATTGTTATTAGCTTGTTTGCAGTCTTGAAAATGATTTGTCCTTTTTCAATTGTGAATCGGGTGAAGGTTTACAGAGCAGATCAGTTGTCCATTCAACAATTCATGCACATTTTGTTTCAGGTCATTGATTGCCATTTCCACAAAGGAACATCACTCATCCCACTTCCCCCCACTGTGCTTCCTGTTCCCATTCCTCCTCCTTCCCTTTCCCTTCTGAACTTTGATGCTGCCCTCGTGATCTCAGATGGTTGATGATTCTGAGGTGTGCATGCCTCCCTTGTGTGAACTGTTCCCTGAATAGACCTGTCTATTGTTCGGCTTCTAGAGATAGACGGGGCTTTCTACTGTCATAAAAAGTTAGTCTTGGAAACTCCCAAGGGCAGTTCTACCCTGTACCACAGGGTTGCTGTGAGTCAGCATGACTCGATGGCAGTGAGTATTATTTGGCTGAAAATTGAGCCATGAGGGTGAGTTCATTTCCAGACCTGAAAGGTGACTAAGAGCCATAGTCTTGGGGTTCCACCAGGCTCTGTGGCCCAGTAAGCCTGCAGGGTGTTGCCTGGATCATTGGGTGATGAAGAAAGAGATGGGTTCTCTCCTCGTGGAGGAGTTTCAGGGGCTTGCACCAGGTCGCGTGGCTGTGACATGGCAGAGAATATACTCAAACTCAACGTAGTTTGAGTTTCAGGTCCAAGCTTCGCCCACCAGGCTCAATTGCCACGTTGCCATGTTTTTATTTCTCCTCATTCATTTTTAGGATTTCAAGACCATCCTCTCAAGCAGCCTCACCTGTCTGAAGAACAGCTCTAGGCCAGGACCGGGCAGCATCGCAGCGCCATGGAGCAGTACAGCCTCGGGGACGAGGGGGCTCTCTCCTTCTCAGAGAGCCAGGGCCTCAACTGCAGTGACACCCTCAATCGGGACCTGGGTCCCAACACACGAGACCTGCTCTATGCTGGCCTGAGCGGTCTGGGCCTAGACCCCAATCTATCGGCGCCCGACATGCCCAGCGAGGTGCTGGAGGACAACTTAGACACCCTGAGTCTGTACTCGGGGAAGGACAGTGATTCTGTGAAGCTGCTGGAGGAGTATACGGACCCAGAGTCTCAGGCTTGCTTACAAGGTGATGAGGCCGTCCTTGGCCTCCAGGGGCCTCTCGGGGCCTGGGAAAATGCCAGTGGCCAGCTAGGGATGGTGTTGTTGTGAAGTGCCATCGAGTCAATTCTGGCTTAAAGCTACCCTATGTCCAACAGGATGAAAGGGCCCAGTCCTGCACCATGCTCACAATTGTGTTTGAGCCCATGGTGGCAGGTACTGTGTCAGTCCATCCAGTTGAGGGCTTTGATTTCTACAGGCATTGGTCTCTCCCAATAACATGTCCAAAGTACGAAAGACAGCGTCTCCGCCATCCTTGCTTTTAAGAAGCATTCTGGCGTACTTCTTCCAAGACAGATTGGTTGGCTCTTTTGGCAGCCCATAGTACTTTGAATATCCATCGATTCTTCTCTGGCCTTATGTAATGTCCAACTTTCACATGCCTCTGTGGCGACTGAAAGTCCCATGGCTTTGGTCAGGCACTCCTTAGTCTTTACAGTACCATCTTTTGCTTTTCAACACTTTCAAGAGGTCTTGTGCAGCAGATTTACCCAATGCAGTGCGATCTGACGGCTGCGTCCACTGACCATTGGTGGCAGTTCATACTGAAGGACTGAAGCAGCCTTCAGTATGGATTACAACACAGTGTAAATGTGATACAAATCCTCACACCTGGACCAGTAGGTATCATTATGATAAACAGAGGAAAGAGGAAGTTGTTACAGATTTCGTCATGCTGGGATCCACGAAAGCTAGGGACCGGTTAAGAAAATGCCCCTTTTCCACCGGGGCAACGTGAGCAAATTGCTCTGCTTGGGAATTTTCCCCAACACCCTTCCACTCAACTGCCATCGAGTCAATGCCGACTCATAGTGACCCTATCGGATGCCCCTGTGAGTTTCCGAGACTGTTAACTGTTTACAGGAATAGAAAGCCCATCTTTCTCCCTCGGGCCCAATAGCCCAGATTAGCGGTTCTCAACCTGTGGGTCGTGACTCCTTTGGAGGTCGAAGGACCCTTTCACAGGGGTCGCCTGATTCATAACAGTAGCAAAATGACAGTTCTGAAGTAGCCACGAAAATAATTTTTGGTTTGGCGGGAGGGTCACCACAACATGAGGAACTGTATTAAAGGGTCTGTGGCATTAAGAAGGTTGAGAACCACTGTCCTAGATGAAGGAAATCAGATATACTAGCCCTTGAGAGTAACCTGGAGGACCTGGGATATCTGGGGATGGCCTAAATCTTTATGCTTTGGGCTGCTAATCACAAGGTCAGCAGTTCAAACCCACCGGCTGCTCCAAAGGAGAAAGAGGAGGCTGCCTGCGCCCCTGAGTTATTCCCAGCCTTGGGTGTATAGGCCTGTGGGTCCATGAGTCGCAATCATCTCAACGCAGTGGGGTTTTCCCTGCTCCTGAAAAGATTCAGAAAACAGGACCACGGTCAGTTCCGTGGTGGGGGTGGGGAGAGGAGAGGCTCCAGAAAGTGCCTGGCCCAATTCCATTGCCTCTTGGTTCCCTCTTCCCGCAAACCTTTTGTAGCCCCCCCTCCCCCACCTTGTATATTTCCCAGCTGCCCTCCCCGAGAGTGCCCGTTGGTGGTGTCGCCCCAGCCCACCCCGTCTGCCTTGGGCCCTCTGCCCTAGGAAAGTCTCACGGGCAGTGTCCTCCGAGCATGGGGATGGAGCGTCGCCCTGGGGCGGTGGGTGCATGGCTATGGGCGGGCTCTGCCCGAGGAGGCGGCAGGCAGAGAGGCATGCTGACTGAGTTCTGGGACTGAGCTTTCTCCCTCCGCTGGACAGCTGAGAGCCATTCTCTCTTATGCAGCAGGAGGTGGGTCGGGTCGGAGGGGGAGGGCTGTCCATCTGTAGGTAATCTGCCCTCTCTCCCTCCGCCGCCACAGTGCTGAATCTGTTCGCCTGTACGCTTTCTCCTTCCGCTGGGTTGCCTAGTGCCTGGCCCTTTGATACATCGAGTGCTTGTCTGTTATAACCTGTGTTTTCCCTCTCCTCTTAGACCTGGGGCTGGGCACACTGAAGGCGCCCAAAGACGCCGAAGAAGGCGGCAGGGCCGGCTCCAGCTCGGGCTCCGGGAGTAGCCGTCGAGGCAAGCGGCAGCACAGCTCCCCCCAGAACCCGCTCCTGGACTGCAGCCTGTGCGGGAAGGTGTTCAGCAGTGCCAGTTCCCTCAGCAAGCACTACCTGACGCACAGCCAAGAGAGGAAGCACGTTTGCAAGATCTGCAGCAAGGCCTTCAAGCGGCAGGACCACCTGTGCGTGAGAGTTCAGGGGAGGGCGGGGCTGAAGGGGAGTCGTGTGCCTGTGTCTTCTCCACCCCCTTCTTAAGTGTCCATCGAATCTCACACCCGCCTGTCCCATCCTGTTGGGTCCGCCCACTTCCTGAGCTCCTAAATGTGTGTAAACAGGCCTTCAAACTGGGGCCCCCTACTCCAGCAGCTGTCTTGGATTGGCCAACTTCACCTTCGTGGGGAAACACCTCTGTGGCTCCCAGGGGGAGCTTTGGGCATGGTTTAGCTAAGGAGGGAAGGCTGGCAGCTGAGAGGTCTGCAGTTCAAATCCAACCCCTGCTGCTCCCCCCGGGACGCAGGTGAAACAATAGAATTCTGTAAAGACTGACAGCCTTTGGGGCAGTTTGCATCAGTCCCAGACGGTCCTGCAGGTCAGAATGGATTCCACTGCAGACAGTTTTGGGTTTTGGCCCAGCGGGAGTGTGGGGAGAACATGTTGGCCCTGCTCAAGGCACCTGTAGCAGGAGACCTTGGGCTGAGGGCTTCAGGGATGCTCTGTTTCTGAAGTACCGACTAAGATGCTGGGTTTTCTTTTTTTAATCTCCACCACCACCACCTTTTCCCCCTCACTGATTTTTAAAAGGAAGCCCCTTATCAGAGTTAAGCGCAAACGTCCCTTTTGTTCTTGTCTTCAAAGAGAAGCTTTTTTTTTTTGCTAACGAGGGAAGGGAAGACAGGCTTCTTCTACGTGGGAGGCTTAAAGGTAGGAGGTGCCCTCTCCCCTCCCTCCACCTTTTCCCTGTGTTCCTGGCTCTCGGGAGAGGACGCTTCCATTGGCCAGCTCTGTGTCCCCTCTCTTGGCCCCATGGCACAAGTTGGGGCTGTCACATTGCTCTCCTAATCCCCTCTCTGGAGTCCCTGGGTGGCGCAGGTAGTTAAGCTCTGTGCTCACCAGACGAGAAGTTGGCAGTTTGAACCCACACAGAAGTGTCTCAGAAGACAGACCTGACAGTCTGCTTCTGTAGCTCAGAGTCCGGGGACCTGGCAGAGCACAGCTTCATGCTGACACTCAGGTCGCTTGGAGTCCCAGTCGACTGGGCCATAACAGACAAGCACAGTCCCTCCCTGGTTCTTCCCTCAGGCAGAAGGGGGATGGGTTACTTCCTGGGCATCCCGCATGTGCCGCATTGACGGAGCTGCCCACAGTAAGAGCTGCTGGGAAGGAGCCCTGGTGGCGTAATGTCTACATGTTGGGCTGTTAACTGCAAGGCCAGCAGTTCGAAACCACCAGCCTCTCTGAGGGAAAAAGATGGGCTTTCTTCTCCTGTAAAGAGTTAGAGCTGAGGAAACCAACAGGCTCAGTTCTGCCCTCTCTTACAGGGTCACTGTGGTGAGTCAGAATCGAGGGGTGGGCAGTGAGTGAGCCCACCGTAGGGCAGTTAGGAACCCAGGAGGGTCACTTATTCATTTACATTCAGGAAACCAATGTGGGCACACAAAAAGGACCCTCCTGGCACAGCAGCTAAGCCCACAGCTAAGGACTTAGCTGTTGACTGAAAGATTGGAGGTTCAAATGCAGGGGTCTAGGTTTACTGAGACCTTCGAAACTTTAGTTCAGAAGCTGCTAGGAGCTAATTGCAAGAACGGTTCTGCGGGCACTTGTGCTTAGGCAACAGGACACTGATGTGAAACACTTCGCTGTCCCCTTATCTCCTTGGGGGTAGAGAAGGTGGGGGGTGCTTGACATGTGGCTCATGAATTACCCAGGTTCCCAGAGCCAGGTGCCTTTTCGCAACTTCCCTGCCAACTGAACCGGAGTCTGTGGGAGGTGGGGGCCCTGCTCGGGCCTGGTTGATTTGGTCAGAGGGATCTGTTTGAAGGTGTGGGAGCAGTGGCCCTGGTGGTGGTCTCCAGCAGCAGGGGCCCATGCCAGGGTGCTGCTGACCTGTCTCCCCTATGTCGGCCTGCAGGACGGGACACATGCTGACCCACCAGAAGACCAAGCCCTTCGTGTGCATCGAGCAGGGCTGCAGCAAGAGCTACTGCGACTACCGCTCGCTGCGCCGCCACTATGAGGTCCAGCACGGTCTGTGCATCCTGAAGGAGGCCCCCCTGGAAGAGGAGCCCTGCGGGGACTCCCCCCACGCCCATGAGGTACCCGGCAGCCTTCGGGCTCTGGTGCCCCCGGAAGCCAGATCCCCCAGTTCCATGCTGCCCAACCGGGATCTCCTGCGCTGCATCGTCAGCAGCATCGTTCACCAGAAGATGCCAGGCCCCGTGGCGTCCTCTGACCCTGAGGCCAGGGTGTCCACCTGCCCCTGCCCAGCCTCCTCGGCCTCTGCCCCAGGCACTGAGGGTCCCGAGGAACCAAGGCCCCCTCGAAAAGAGCCGGGCAGCGCTGATGGGTTCTCGGCTATCCACTCAAGGGGGGCGGAGAACGGGGTCTCTGAAGGCCCCGAGTCAGAGCTCCCTGTCCTCCAGCTCCCAGCCACCCTGGAGGGCTGGCCCGACGGTGGGCCTCTGCCTGCTCGCCTGCCTCTTTTCCGAGGCCAGACGGCCCCCGCTGGCTCCCAGCCATCTGGCCCAAACTTCCAGTGGCTCAGAAACCTACCCGGCTGCCCCAAGAGCAAAGGCAGCAGCGTGTTCGTTGTGCACAAGACCCCTGCGGCGCCGGCCTGGGAAGGCTCGGAGTCAGGTCCGGGGCCCGGAGGGGGCGCCTCCCCAGGCATGGAGGCCACATCCTGCTCTGGCACGGGGCTGGAAGATCGGCTGCCCTTCCCTGGCCCAAACGACACCAGGGCTGCTGTCGGTGGGGACGATGACGCCTGGGCCTCCAAGAAGAGCAAGCTGGAGGGTGACTCGGTGCCCTGGCAGAATCCCGGGGAGCCTGGTTCTCAGGACCCCCAGAAAGCCAGCGGGCTCCCGGCCGAGGCCACGCCACTCTTTCGGCAGCTTCTGTTGAAGTCGCAAGAGTCTCTGGCGAGCCACGAGCAGATGCAGGTGTTCCAGATGATCACCAAGTCACAGCGCATCTTCTCCCACACCCAGGTGGCCGCCCCTGCCGCCCAGCTCTCTGCGCCTGAGGCCAAGCCTGCTGCCCCGAAACCACTGCCTGGGCCGTGGCCACAGCAGTCCTCACCACTGGCCCCTGCCGTGGACACGGAGCCCGAGGGGTCCCCGGCCCGCAGGAGGAAGACCTCGGCCGCCTTTGCCCGAGATACCTCCCCTGGTGGCAGCGGCAGCACCCGGCGGGAAGCCAAGGGAGGGCCAAAGGGAACCACCACACCACCGTCCCTTGTGCCCGTGGCCCCGGACCCCCCTGTTAACCCCGACGGCTCATTTCTGGCCAAGCAGCTGCGATCTGCAAAAGGGGCCTTGGACCTGGGGGACATATTCTCTACAAGCATGCGGCAGAGCCAGAAAGGGAGTGACGAGACACCCGGCCCCCAGCTGCCTGGAAAGCTAGCTCAAGCTGAGACCGCCACTGCCACTGCCGCCACCGCTGCTGCCACCACCACCACCACCACTGCAGGGTCCTCCAAAGGTGACAAGGGCCCCGCTTGCCCCCGGGGTGCAGGCTACAGGCTCTTCTCGGGCCACCCCAGGGCCCAGCGCTTCTCCGGCTTCCGGAAGGAGAAGGTGAAGATGGACCTGTGCTGCTCAGCCTCACCCAGCCAGGTCGCCATGGCCTCCTTCTCATCAGCCGGGCCCCCTGCTGACCCGCCACGAGACGCCAAGTCCAAGCTGACCATATTCAACAGGATCCAGGTACCTCAGCCTGTGGGCACGGCCCTGACGAGGGTCCCAGTGGGGCCAGAGTTTTAGCCTGTTGCCCACTCTAACATTTGTTCAGACACCTGGTGGCACGGCAGTTAAACGCTAGGCTGCTGACTGTGAGAGGTCAGTGGTTTGGACCCACCAACTCTTCTTGGGAGGAAGTTGCTACATTCTGTTCCCGTTACAGCCTCAGACCACCCCCCTTGGGGCAGTTCTACTCTGCCCTACAGGATCCCTCTGTGTCTCACTCGCCTCGGGGGCAGCAGGTTCGGCTTTTGTTAGTTGTCCAGACGTTTCGCGTGCACATCGTCTCGGTGAATCCTGTGACCGCAGCCGTGCCGGGGGCAGGAGATACAAGCTCCCCAAACCAAATGGGGACTTGACGGCGTTTTGTGTTGCTGAGCTATCTCTTCTCACTTTCTCCCCACTGCCCCCCAAGTTGTCTTTTGGATTTGCCTCCTTAGATTTCTCAGAGGATATGAAGGTACAGACCCAGCACTCTCCTCCCCTCCCCAAACTATACCTGCACGGAATGGCCCCATACCTCCTCCTTGTTAGCCATGGGTCCCACAGCTCACTGGGGTCCCACCTCCGTCTGACACCCTGCTCTGACTCTCCTGGCCCTGCAGACCCACATGTCCTGCTCTGGGTCTTGGGCTCAGGGATGTTGGGCTACTGCTCTCTGACTGGCTCTGGGTTCGGCACCTTCCTGACACCCTGTGGTTGCCTCTTTGTTCTTTCAACCCATGTATCACTATCTTTCTTGTCCACATAAGGAGCCCTGGTGGTCCATCGGGGTGGGGAGGGGGGAAGCCTGGGGCTGCTATCCCCAAAGTCAGCCCTTCGAACCCACCAGCCACTCTGTGGGAGGCCGTCAGCTCCCGGACAGATTTACAGTCTCCGAAACCCCAAGGAGCATTTTTGCCCTGCCCCACAGGGTCACTATCAGTCGGAATGGACTCAGTGGCACCGGGTTTTAGTAATTATTCACACGGGAGCCCTGGGCCGGTCACAAGAAGGTTGGCGGTTCTGATCCGCCCAGTGTATCCATAGTGTATCCTGGTGGCCTGCTCCCCTTCCAGATCGCAGCCGGGAAACCCTCTGAGGCACACGTGTCTACCACATGGGGCCGCTCGATGTGAGTCTGAGTGGTTGGGTGGTGTCCCCCCAAGAAACCAAACCCACTGCCCTTGAGAGGGCTTCTGAGCTCCTCAGTCTCAGGCCGCTGCTTTCTCCCACGGAGTGCCTGGGGCCGGATGCCTTACCCACTGCGTCACCAGGGCTCCTTCTTGTGGCTGCATAACAGTCCGTTACATGCATGCACACCATTTTATTCACGCATGTCCCTACCATTGGACACTTAGGCTGGTTCTACTTTTCCCCCATTATGTACAATGCTACCCCTGCTACTGCTGCTGCCCACCCTCAAGTGTTTGTGAGGACCCGTGCCTTGTTTCTCTTAGGGCAGAACTGCCCGAGTCACAGAGTCACCCTGTGTGGGGCTGCAGGCCTCTCTTCCCCCGGGGCGGCCCCATTTCACACTCCCCTCGGCGCGTGTGAGCGCCCCTGTTCCTCCACAGCCCACCAGCACTGGCTATGTCTGTTTTGCGTGGGGTTTGTTTTGCATTCACGCCACTGCTAGTGGAGGCGAAGTGGTGTCTCCCTGTGGTTTAAATTTTCATCACCCTGATGCCAAGGAAGGCTAGCGGGGCCCTCCGTGTCAGTCTTTGGAGAAATCGTTGTTCAGGTCCTCTGCCTGTTTAGTTGGGTTTCATTTTGTCTTTTTATCACTCGCTGTAAAAGTCCTCAAGGAGCTCCCAAGGGCCCAGCAGCTACGCACTTGGCTGCTGAGAGGTCTGCGGGTTGAGCCCACTAAGCGGGAAAGGCGTGGAAGTCTGCTCCGGGAAGAAAACAGCCTTTGGAAGCTGACGGGGCACTTCTCCTCTGTCCTGTAGGGTCTCTGTGAGTCGGAGTGAATTCTCTGACAGTGGATTTGGTTTGGGGAACGTCCCGTGTGTATTCTGGATGAGGATGTTGGGTGCCATTGGGCCGATTTGGATTTGTAATGATACATAACCCGTGCTATGCACCACAGGATGAAACCCTCGCTGGTCCTGCGCCATCCTCACAATTGTTGCTGAGTTGAACCCATGGTTGTAGCCATTCTAACCCATCCATCTTGCTGAGGATCTTCCTCTTTTTTGCTGAACCTGTCTGTATGCTGCCAAGCATGATGTCCTTCTCTCAGGACTAGTCCTTCTAGATAACATGTCCAAAGTACATGAGATCAAGTCTCACCATTCTAGCGCTCTGGCTAAATTTCTTCCAGGACAGATCTGTTTGTTCTTCTGGCAGTCTAGGGCAGGGGTCCTCAAACTTTTTAAACAGGGGGCCAACTCACTGTCCCTCCGACCCGTTGGAGGGCCAGACTATAGTTTAAAAAAAGACTATGAACAAATTCCTATGCACACTGCACATATCTTATTTTGAAGTCAAAAACAAACGGGGCAAACACCCAGCGGGCGCATAAATGTCCTCGGCGGGCTGCATGTGGCCCGCGGGCCGTAGTTTGAGGACACCTGGTCTAGGGTATAGTCAACATTCTTTGCTAATACCATAATTCAAAGACACAAGTTCTTCTTCCGTCTTCATCACTTCTTGCCACCTTTTGCTTGCATATAAACAAAGAACAAAACAAAAAAGCCCCCAAAACAACCCACTGTCCTCAAGTCTATGCTAACTCATAAGGACCCTGTAGGACAGGGTAGAACTGCCTCTGAGTTTCCAAGACTGAAACCCTACCTTTGTCTTGAGCAGCTGGTGGTTTTGAACCACTAACCTTCCAGATCACAGCCCAACATGTGGCCACTATGCTACCAGGGCTCCTTGCATATAAGGTGATTTAAAATACCCTGGTTTGGGTTAGGTGCCATTCTTGGTGGCTTGGTCAGGTAAGCGTTGGGCTGATAACCTCAAGGTCAGCAGTTCAAACCCACCGGCTCTTCTCAGGGAGAGAGATGAGGTCACCCGCTCCCATAAAAGATGCCCTAGTTTTCTCTTTTCACTCTTCCTCACTCTGTCTCTGGTGTGCTGCCTCAGCCATCCTCTCATCCCCAGGGCGGGAATATCTACAGGCTCCCTCATCCCGTGAAGGAAGAGAACACTGCGGGTGGCCGGTAAGTGAAGTCCTCCCTTGGGAGTGCCCCATAGGTGGCCCTCATGGCTGCCAGTCCGGAGCGATGGGTTCTAGGGCTCATCAGGAATTGTCAGGGCACCCGTGATGGTAGACAGAGTCTCAGTCCACCATTCTACGCCCCTCCCTCCCATCTTCCCGCAGAAACCAGCAAAATGGGGGGCCTGCCGACTGGACCGAGCCCAGGAGCACTTACGTCTGCAAGAACTGCAGCCAGATGTTCTACACTGAGAAGGGCCTGGGCAGCCACATGTGCTTCCACAGCGACCAGTGGCCGTCCCCTCGTGGGAAGCAGGAGCAGCAGGTGATGGGGTACAGCTGACGGGGGCTCAGGGCCATTCATCCCAGGATGGAGTGGCATCCTATGGGACAGGCCCTTGGGCTCATACAGCTCAGCCCCCGGGCAGCCCACCCCGAGGTTAGCGACGGCGGTTCTAGTCATCCCTGTGAGCAGTCTTCGTTTCCCCAGGTGGAACAAACAGTTAATGAGCTGGGCCAGGGACCAAAAGGTGGTCAGTTTGAGTCCACTCAGTTGCACCTAGGAAGAAAGACCTGGCAGACTGCTGGTCCTGAAGAATCAGCCCCTGAAAACCCTTGGCCATGTTCTGCTCCTGACCAAGTACACAGGTTGTCAGGCATTGAAATGGACTGGATCTGGGGTTGGCAAACTTTTGAGACAAGGGAGCCAATCCTGTTCCTCACAGCAATTTAAAAATCATTTGAGAGCCTTAAATGTTTTTTTTTTTCATAAATGTGTTTTTACAAACAAAATCACCATTGTCTGAAAATGAGAAACTATGGTAGTTTTCATTTTCCATTTGACTCCAGAGCCACATGTACACACAGAGAGAGGGTAGACCCGGAGTTTGCCGACCACTGGACTCGAGGGCCTCTGGTCAGTGGTTACTGACACCGTTGCCCACGTGTCAATTCCAACTTGTAGTGAGCCTATAGGACAAAGTAGAACTGCCCTTGTGGGTTCCACAAGTACAAATGTTTATTGGAGCTTCATCTTTCTCCCTCCATCAACCTTGTGGATGGCAGTCTGGCGTCAGGCTCCCTGTGAGTGGTGTGGTTGCTCTTTAAGAGCTGGCTGTTTTCTGTGTCTAGGTGCCTGGCTCCGAGTTCTGCAAGCCACCAAGACAGATGCTGAGGCCCGATGTGGACAGCCAGAGTCCCCCAGGAGCCAAGAAGCCCGCAGACAGTGAGGCAGAAGCCACCCTGATGATCCCCGGGTCTGTCCCTGTGGCCCCAGGGACCCGGCTGCTGGCCAGTGTTGCCAAGGTGGGTGTGGACCCGCCTCTGAGCGATCACTGTCACTCTGTCTCCTGTGCTGTCCAGTCAGTTCCACAACCCTCCCCCGAGGGAGGGAGTTGGGGGAGCCCCAGGGGAACCAAGCCCAGCCTCTGACGGTCCGAAAGGGCTGTAGGCACTGAGACCTGGAAGAGGAGTGAGAGGCTGGCAGAAAGGCCGGGAGACTGCTGGGAGGCTAGCGAGAGCAAGCTTTCCAAGGTCAAGGGAGCAGCTTACGGGAAACCCCACTCCCCAACTGGGCTTAGGGTTAATACCATGTGTGGGCCTGAAGGTCAGTCTCACAGGAGAGTTGTCCTTTTGTCAGCCTGTTGCATCCCCAGCATCCCTAGTCTCCGCTCCTTCACGCCACTCATTGTAACAACCGATGCTACCCTTCCACAGTTCCAGAACCTCCCAAGCCAGGGCGTCTCCGGGGGGTGTGGGTGTCTGCATGGGCTGCCATCTCCCTCCGATGTTCCTGGTGCGGAGTCCCAGGCTTGCAGGCAGCCCTGGGCAGTGCCCTTCAGGCCCTCCTTGGCATCCTTGCCATGGCCCTGGCGCAGAGGGGCCTGGCGTGGGCCACACTTCTCTCTGTGTCCAGGTCTGGTGCCGTGGCTGGGGCAGAGCGGAGTGAGCCTGTGCGATTCTGAAGGCTCTTCTTCCCTAGGGCCAAGAGAAGGACGGGGAAGAGGGCCAGGAGAGCGGTCGGCACAGGAAGCGGAAGAAGCGGCCCCCGCCCAAGGCACTGTTCATCCCCGCTCCACCCTCCGCATTCAGGGAGCCAGACCTCGGTGGGCGCCACCCGAGCTGCCTACGGTCCCCAGTGTTCCTGGTGGACCAGCTCCTGAAAGGCCTGTTCCAGTGCTCGCCCTACACGCCACCCCCCATGCTCAGCCCCATCCGGGAGGGCTCGGGGCTGTACTTCAACACCCTGTGCACCACGACTGCACAGGCCAGCCCCGACAGGCTTTTCAGCACTGTGTTTGGTGAGTGAGGCTGCTCCCATCTCTGGGTCCATCACTCAGTGGGCCTCCTGGGCCCACCAGACTCCTTTGCCCCTGTAGTAGGTGGTCCAGCTGTTCCCTCTGACCTATATACAGGTACACCTGGTCCAAGAGTCCCATTGCTGTTTACAACCTGTTTCCCGGACCAACAGCCTCTCTCTTGGTGCTTAGATTTTACAGCTGGAAGGAAGTATAGAGGCCGTTTTGCCTGATCACCCATCAGCCCTTCTGTGTGATTTTAAAAAAAGCTTTTTTGAACTACGATCCATGTACCAGACAAGCCTCCAGTTAAGGTTATTGATCCAATGTTTTTAGTACATTCACAGGGTTATACACCCATCACCATTGTTGACCTTTATAGCAGTTGCATTGCTCCACAGAGAAACCCTGCATGCATTAGCAGCGCCCCCCTCCTCCCTTATCCCCAGCCCCTGGCAACAATGAATGTACTAAAAAGAGTCTATACCAACCTCAAACTGCCATCCAATTGACTCTGACTCACAGCAACCTCTTAGGACCGAGTAGAACTGCCTCTGGGTTTCTGAGACTGAAACTCTGTACGGGAGGGGTGCTGTCTTTCTCCCGAACAGCAGCTGGTGCCTTCAAACTGCCGACCTGGTCCAACGTGTGACCACTGCAGCACCAGGGATTCACATCAGGAATCAGACAGCATATGGCCTTTTGTGTCTGACTGCTTGTACTCGGCATCATGCTTCCCACATGTTGTAGCGTGTCTCAGTGCCTCATTCCTGCTTACGTAAGGCTGCTTTAGCTGCACCTCCTACCGAGTGTGCGTTTTCCCGGAGTACTTTTTAGTTTCTCTTATCATTTTGCCTCTGCTGCCTGGGTTATTTAAGTAGTTGTGCTTTTCATTTCTACATCTTGTTGAAGTTGCCAGATTTCCTTCTGTTACTGATTTCTAATTTTGTTCCAGTGTGGCCCTAGAATTGACTTTGCATGGCTTATGCCCCTTTAGATTTGTCAGTGTGCTTTCGTGGCCTAGGATATTGTCTGTCTGTCCTGGAGAAGGTTCCGTATGCACTTGAGAAGAATGTGTAGTCTACTGATGGGAGTGGAATGTTCTGTAGAGGTCTGTTGGATCCCAGTGGTTATATAGTGCTGCTCACGTCTGGTTCTTGTTCTTTCTACTATTGAAAGAATTGAAACCTCCAACTTCGTTGGTGCAGTTGTCTTTCACCCTTCAATCAATCCGGTCAGTTTTTGCTTCATGTACTTATGGGCTTTGTTGTTAATGCATCTATGTTTATAGTAATATATTCCTGATGACATAATTCCTTTATCATTAGGATATGTTTCCTTATCTCTAATAGTAATTTTTGTTTTTAAACTCTTAATTTGTCTCATATTAATGTAATCCTCCAATGCTTTCATGATTGTTCTTTGCATGATATAGCTTTTCATGTTCTTCTATGTTCAAACTACCGTATATACTCGCGTATAAGCCGACCCGAATATCTGCCAAGGCACCTAATTTCACCACAAAAACGGCATTAAAAATGTGGTGAAAAACTCAGCTTATACATGAGTACATACGGTGTGTGCGTGCGTGTGTGTGTGTGTGTGTGTGTGTGTGTGTTATCTTTTAAGCAGAATTGTCTCCAGTAGAGAGCTCTGTTGGAAGGGTGGGTTCGGCATTGGCTGTTAACCACACAGACTTGTTGATTCAAACCCACCAGCTGCTCCAGGGAACAAGACGTAGCTGTCTGCTCTCATAAAGACGTACGTCTTACAGTCTTGGAAACCTTATTTGAGGTTCCTATGAATTGGAATCAACTTGGTGGCAGTGGGGGTTTTTGGAGGTGGGGTTTAGACAGCATTAATTGGATCATGTTCTTTTAAAAAAATCAGTCTTGAAAGTCTCTATCTTTATTGAGATGTTTAGACAGCTTAGGTTCAGTGTCGTTATTGATGTGGTGTGTTTACAGCTGAGATCTTGCTCTTTTGTTTTCTATGTATTCTGCCTTTCCATCCTACTCTCCCTCGTTTACTACTGTATTTTGCATTAAGTGCTTGTTTTCTAGTGAAAGATTTCAATTCTTTTAATGATTTCTCCCCACTATTTTAAGTCACCTTCTTAATGGTTACCCTAGAGTTCAGAGTACATCTCTTTAAAATCTATTTCAGACTTATACTAACTTACTTACAGTGAGATGTAGGAGCATTACACAGCCACCGCCTGTCTGCCAGTGGGAGCTTGCATGTTGCTGTGATGGTGAACGGGTTTCAGCAGAGTTCCTAGAGTAAGATGCTAGGAAGAAAGGCCTGGTTATCCACATTTACATAATCAGCCCCCGGAAGCCCTTGGGATCACCACAGTCCTATTTTGTTGTGTGAGGGGCAGAGTGCTGGCCTAATGACAGCTAACAACAACAACTAGATATCTTGTATCGCTCTATTCCCTCTCCCCCCTTTTTGGTGTTCTTTTTGTTATATGTGTTACATCTCTAGATATTAGAAACCGAGCCATACACTGCTGCAATTGTTGTTGATAAGGGGCTGCTGAATTGATTTTGAGTCAGAATAACCCCATGTGATGGAGGGTCTTCTAGGGCCTTGGGACTGCTGCAGGGTAGCCTCCTACACTCTGAGGGAAAAAGGTGAAATTGTCTGCCCCTGGAAAGGTTTTTAATCCCTGCAACCCCGTATCGGGGCCCTGTGAGTAGGATCAACTCAGTGCGAGTGGGTTTGCAGGGTCTCCCAGGCTGTCATCCCTCTTTATGGGACCAGGTCGTCAGACCATTCACCTGTGGAGCAGCAGGTGGGTTTCAGCCACCAACCATTCTGTTAGCAACAGAGTGCTTCACTTTGGCGCCAGCTGGGATCCGCAGCATGCTTATTGCTACTTTATGTCAATCCTGTGTGATTTTAAAAATCAGCTGGCGTAAAGGAAGTGGGGTATACTCGTATTCATGTTGTTGCTGTTGTGTACCATGAAGTCAACCCGGATGCCCACGTTCATAGAATTGTTATGCCAGCCTTCCTGTCTACCCTTCTTGGTTCTCCCTTGTTCCTATGGATTTAAGTTGCCCCCGGTGTATGCCTTGGCTTCAGTACAGCTTTGTTCTCGCTGGCCTCTCTTAGTGTTGTTGCTGTCAATTGGGTTACATTTCTATGGGTTAGAGAGGTCCACAGTGTGTATTGCCTTAGTCTGCAATTGCTTCTTAAATAACAGAAGAGACGGGACAAGAAGAAGAAGAAGAATTACGTTGCCGTACGTAATTACCTGCATGATTACATTCCGCAGCACGCTCTCTTCTTAGCTGCTGTTATTTGCATGTGATTCTCTCGTAATCGTTGTCTGGCATCACCGTTTTATCCTAGAGTTTTTGTTTTTGTTTTGGGCCTTTGGGAAAATTAGCCTTATGTAGATACAATTCACATATGCCATATGATTCATCACTTTAAACCACGGGTTCCCAAACATATTTGGCCTCCCGCCTCCTATTAAGGGGAGGGTGGGCGGGGATTTTTACTCACATCCCATCCCCTCCCCGCCTCTTGCACACTGGAAAACTATAGCCCGCAGTGCAGGATGAAGTGCAGATGCCTGCAGAGAGGGAGAGGAGATGGGTGGACACCGTGGCTGCAGCAGTGGGCTCAGGAATGGGAACAGTTGTGGGGTTGGTGCAGGACCAGCCCGGCAGCATCTCCTTCTCTTGTGCACCAGGTCGCCATGGGCTGGAGCTGACGGGGCGACACAAACAACCATCTGTTTTTGCTGCTGCCCCTGTATCCATCCAGTGCCCACCAGGGGGTGGTATCGCCCATTTTGGGACACAGCTTCACATCCTTCAATGGTTTTTAGTCTAGTGGGTGAAGGGAGACAGCAGTCAGTGTAAGACATGAAAAAATAATAATCTATAAATTAGCATTGGTTCATGGGTGGGGGGGCGATAAGGAGCTGATACCAAGGGCTCAAGTAGAAAGAAAATGTTTTGAAAATGATGATGGCAACCTATGTACAAATGTGCTTGACACAATGGATGGATGGATGGATGGATTGTGATAAGAGCTGTATGAGCCCCCAATAACATGATTACACACAGAGAATATTATATGCCACATATAATATATATATTAGCATTGCCGCTCTTGGAATTGCCCTAAGGGCATGAACATCACCAGTGCCTCGGTAAGAGGGATGCAAGTCTGTGGCATGGGAGCCAGGACCTGCTCCCTGACCCTTAGCTCCATCTCTCAGAAATTCTAATTCAGGTTTGTGCAGCCACGGGCTGGGACTCGGGCTTTGCCCCGGAAGGCAGGCTGTAGACTGTGTCCCCCATATCGTGCCTCCTGCTGAAGAAGCTTGAGGCCAAGGAGGCCTAGCTGAGAGGACTTGGGGACTCCATTCACTAACCCAGCCCCTACTCTCCTGGTGCAAGACCCACCACAGGTATGGACAGCTGGGAATCTGGGGCCCCAGTTGTCCCTGGCCAAGTTCACTGCTAGGGTAGAAGTTCTATGCTGAGGACTGAGGACCAGGGGTTACCACCCCAATCACTGCCCCAGTTCCTGAAGCCCTGGTGGTGTGGAGTAGTGATGCACACACAGGGCTGCTAAGCACAAGGTCAGCAGTTCAAAGTCACCTGCCTTACAGTCTGCAAAATCATGTGACAATAAAAAAGGAGTTAAACACTGTTGTGTTACAATGTGGGTGAACCTCGACAACAATAAACTAAGTGAGAGAAGCCAGTCACAAAGGGCCACATAGGGTACGATTTGATTTAGACTTAATAGGCAAACGTATCAAAACAAGAGAGTAGATGTGTGCTTACGTAGGGCGGGGGAGAGCCAGGGCTGTGGAGATGCTCCGAAGGAATGTGGGATTTTCTTTTGGGGGGGTGATGAAAATTGGCTGTGACTGTGGCTGTATTATAGGTGCTAAAGTCAGGTAAAGCAAGCCCTCCCATTGTGTCCTCCTTCTTGAGGAGTTCTCTGCTAATTCTGGGCTTCTTCGCTCTCCATATGAAGTTGGTAATCAGATTTTCCAATTCTTTGAAGAAAGATGATGGTATTTGTATTGGGATAACGTGAAATTTATATAGTGCCTTGGGCAGAACTGACATCTTTACTATATTGAGTCTTCTGATCCATGAGCATGGGATATTCTTCCATTTGTTGAGGTCACTCTTGGTTTCTAATGCTAATATTTTTCATCACTTTCACCAACTGAGCTGTCATTTTGATGGGAAAGAGGGTCTATCTTCCTACTCTGTCGATTCAGAAGTCCCCCTTGCCCCCCTGCAATGTGATTTTAAAGAACCTGCCTTCTGAGCACCCAGTCTGTAGAAGGTGATGGATGCCAGGTAGAGCCTAAAATCCTTTAACAGAGTCCCTATGTGGAGTAAGCTTCCACTGAATTCCCCTGGCCATTGACCAGGGATGTGAATCGCCTTGCCCTTAGACTAAGGTGACCAGATTTAAAGCGAGACACCATTGACTGGGGTGGGGGGGGTTCTTGATTAAAAATTTGGTCTATATGGACCAAATAGACCGTTCCCTAGCTTGTCGTGCTTTCACAAGGATTGAGGCTGTGCGATGCTCTGTTTGGCTGTCGTTGTCGGTGTTTTCTGTACCATTTTCTGCGTATGAAATCCAGGGCAGGTAAATCTATAGAGACAGTCACTAGACTTGTGGTTCCTTGGGGGAGCGGCAGGGGGGGGAGGGGACGGGGCGCTAATGATGAGTACAAGAGTGAAGGAAATAAAGCTGATGGTGATGATGATCGTGCAACTCTTTAATAGATATTTAAACCATCCAGTGATGCCGGCGCAGCTGCTAGAAAAGAGCCCGTCATCAGCTGGGTCCACCTAAGGTGGGCGAAGGGGCCTGTGGGTCCCCGAGAACCAGTCTCCTTGAGACCTTCCCTCGCATGTTTTCTAGATCCCATGGATGGCTCTTTTGGCATCTCTATGGTGAAGGACAACACCAGGATCAGCATTGAACCGTGAGTGGGACAGACTCAGAGCCGAGGGGTCTTCACCCCAGGGATCCCGCCATCGGCACAGGAGGGGAGGCAACCAGGTCCAACAGCAAAGCCTCTCTAGCAGGGAAGCAGTGGGTTTTTCCAGGTATAGGCAGGGAGTCCCTCAGTACCCCTTCTTCTATCCAGATGTAGCCGGGTTCCTGGAGATCAGAATGCCACAGAACTCGGGGCTCTGGTGGAATTGGTGATGGCTCTGTGTGAGATGGACACGCACTCATGGAGTGTGGCTAACCAGGTGTGGCCCTGGCTATGGAATGTGCCAGATGCCAGCAGGTGGCTGCCCCACCGCCCTGAGCCCCAGAAGAGACGCCCAGAGGAAGTGTGCCCCCAGAGAGGGTTCTGTGCCTGCCGTGAGCGGTGGGGCTCATTCTGAGTGTCTGAGGCCTGAAAGCAGACATGGGGAGCCCCCTGCCATTCTTCTGTTGAATGATTTCTTACTGTGCGTTTGGTGACGGTTCACACAGCAGTTTAGACTGTCACCCACGAATTTCGACACAAGTTACTCAGGGGTACTGGTTACAGTTCTCACAATGTGTGCGCCTTCTCATGGTTCCCTCCGGGCTGCCCGGGTCCCTTCATCTGGTTTCCCCATCCCTCACATTCTCATCTGTGCTGGAAAGTCCTTGTTGGCCGGGGTTTCATGTAGGTGACTTATTTTTTTAAGAAAAGCAGCACAGTCCTTATGGGTGATGTTTTGTGAGGCAATCTGTTTAGACACCAGGTGACATCAAGGATTAGTGTCAGTTCAAGGTTTGAAGAGCATTCCAGGGCAATCATGTTGGGGGCAGTCTCAACTGGCTCATTAAGTCTGGTTTCGCTGATTGTTTTAGGAATTTAAGGTTCCCGTTCTTATTTTGCTCTCATTTTACTAGAGTCCGTCTCTTGTGGCCCCAGTTAGGGTGGTTAGTAGCTGTAGCCAGGCACCAGCTAGTTCTTCTGGTCTCAGGCATGGTCTGTAGTCGGAGCCAGGCTCCAGCTAGGTCTTCTGGTGTCCGGTTACATGAGGCCATGGTTCATGTAGCCTATTTGTCCTATAGACTAGCTTCCTCCTCGAGGGAGCAAGCACCCCATCTCATCCTCCATCTGAGTCCATGTCCTTGTCTCCTGCATGTCTTGTGTGTGGCCGCATTTCAGACACATCAACATAGGAAGCCGGTTTCAGGCTGAGATCCCGGAGGTCCAAGAGAGGTCTCTGGCCAACACCGATGACCACGTAGCTGCTCTGGTCTGGAAGCCGTGGGGAGACGTGATGACCAACCCGGAAACACAGGACCGAGGTGGCTGAGGCTCAGGGCTCAGGCATCCCTGCCCCCCCCTCTAAGAGTTACTCCTCCCGTTCTTGCCTTAACCAAGAAGAGCAGTGTCCCCCTGGCCCGGTGCTGCTGTTCCACTCGGTGCTCTCCTGCCCCGGGAACTCCTCTCAGTGTCCAGGGATGGCGGCAGGAACACCCTCCTTTAGCTTTTCCCTCTCTCCACCAGGCCTGCCTCACCTGCATCAGGAGAGCAGGCAGGTGGGACAGAGGTCCCAGGCCCTGGGGTGTCATGGTGAAGCACTCCTTTGCTAACTGAAAGGTTGATGGCTCTCGTCCACCTAGAGGCACCCGGAAGAGAAGCCTGGCCGCCTGCTTCTCAAACCCCCGCCCTTGGAGGGAGCCCTGGGGAGCAGAGTACCACTCTGATATGTTGGGGAGGTGGTGGTGGGGTCCCCGGGCCTCAGGGTGGACTAGATGGCAACTGGTTTTATTGGTGGTGGTGGTGTTCATGAGGGAGTGAAAGGCAGAGATGTGGCAAAGACACTCAAATACGGGGACTTCCAAAACATCCGTTGGCATGGCAAAATGAAATCAAGAGATCATGGAATTTGCCCGTGAACTTTTGGAAGTGTAGGCTCTTCCCCCGACCCATCTGCATCATCAAACCAGCACCACCAGAAAGAGGAATTTTTTGGGGGGGCCGATGCCCATGTGTGCAGAGGGGGGGACTGTGCTGCCAGCATGCAGCAGCATCTGGACAACACCTGTACGCAGGTTTTATTCACCTGATCGAAGAAGCTGACTGTCAGGTTGTATCTAAAAGCATTTTTAAAATTATTATGAAATCATGAACTGTACTGTGGGGCAGTAAGGCCCGTCAGAGGAATCCCCATCCGCGACCATCACATCGGGTGATTCCAGCGGAAGAGCAGAGTCCCCAGGGTGTCCAGGCTGCAGCCTTTGTAGAAGCAGAAGCCTTTCTCCTGCCTAGAGGCTTGTGGGTTCAAACCGCCAACCTTCTCATTAGCAGCCAAGCATGTAACACTACACAACCAGGGCCCCAACACCCAGGAACCAAGCCCTCTGCCCTGCAGTCAGTCCAGACTCAAAGCCACCATGTGCGGGGCTTTTGAGACTGTCAATCTTCACGGAAGCCACCAGTCGCAGCTTCCTCCCAAACGACGACTTCATGGCTGGTGGGTTCAAACTGCGGGCCATAGCAGTCCAGGGCCTAATCCACAGCCTTGAAGCCCGGTTGGTGGTGTACAGATGTTCTCTGCAGGCAGAGTAGACTAGACAGCCACAGGCCCTTGGGGGCGCTGTTGGGGCAGGTCCCTGGCTGGTCCTTGCTGACTACTGTGCGTGTCCTCTTCCCCTCACCTCTCCGGGGCACCTGCTCCTCATCCGGGATGCAGTGACGGAGCTCTGTAACGTGGCTTGCTCCAGCGTGATGCCAGGAGGCGGCACCAACCTGGAACTGGCGCTGCACTGCCTGCATGAGGCTCAAGGCAACGTCCAGGTGAGAGGGTGGCCCAGGGAGCCTGGGGCTGAGGGAGAGCATCTCACTGCCTCTCCCGGAGGAGAGTCACCTGCCACTCCTCATCCCAGATGGCCCTGGAGACGCTCCTGCTCAGGGGACCCCAGAAGCTGCTGACGCATCCAATGGCTGATTACCGCTACACAGGTCAGTGGAAAGGCTTTGTGCCCTGCGGAGACCCTCCTGGAAGCAGTCAGCAGCACTGGCAACCTCGGTTCGTGACTCCCAGGAGGGTCTCCTGCCCTGGCTGCCTCAGTGGGCACTGTTGCTCCCAGGCAGATCCCACCATCCTCCTTTTCCAGTGGGTTCCCTGAACACTGCACAGGCAGGCCAGGGAAACCCCCCTACAGGGAGTGGGGGTGGGGTGGGAGAGCCAGGCTCAGTGGTGAGAACACTGTCCCCAGGTGTTCTTAACCTGCTGCAAGTTCTTCACTGATGGAGCCTCAGTGTCGCATCCCCCACCCCCACCCCACCCCCCACAGGTGGTGACGCACTGACAGTCTCTCCTTCCTGGGTGTGGGTGAGGGCTGCATACAAGGAAGTTCCTAGGGAGCAGAACAGTCCACGTGCTTCTTCTCCTGGCCCCTGGGTCGCCAGGGTGCCTGGCGGCTGGCAGGACAGGACAGAGGGCCCAGCAGAGCACTGGGCACACAGATAGAATGTGCTGGGAGAGCGCCCTCTGTAGCAGGGAGGATGGGCTGCACTCAGCCGGGGAGGTGGTCCCAGGAGGAGCCTTGACCCTGTCCCTCAGCCGTGTTCTCCAACAGGCTCTGACAGCTGGACCCCCATGGAGAAGAGACTTTTCAAGAAGGCATTCTGTGCCCACAAGAAGGACTTTTACTTGATACACAAGACGGTAAGTTTGTGCATGGGGGCTGGTATAGACCCGGCCGTGCCTTTCACGGCTGAACCACAGAAGAGCTGGCACTGAAGGGTGGGCCTGGAGCAGTCCACAGCCCACCTCCCCCACGCCTGCCTGGGCCTCGTTGTTGTAAACCAGCTGGAGTTGTCGCTGCATCCACACGTACGAGAGGCACGGCGTGCTCAGGGTAGAACCCTTCAGGTCCTCTCCACACCCTCCTGTCATTAGTGCTGACGGGAAAGTGCACTGCTGGGTCCAGGCAGAACACACACGTGCGGCTCCTCAGGGCAGAGGTGCTCGGCTTTTCATCGTGCCTGTGGCTTTCAAAGCAGGTACCGGCCTGCACCAGCACGGGATGGAGGGTCAGCTGGCTGCACTTGGATCCATGAAACCCTCACCAGGGTCAACATAATGAGCTGCAGCTGTCAACCCCCACTGCCCTTTTGAGCCGCTTGCACCTGCCTCTCCCTCTGCTGGCCCCTGGTGTACTTTGTCACCGTCACCACCTGGGGTCTCTGGAATACTCCCCACAGTATGAACCAGATGCTGATACTTCAGGAGAGACCATTCCCTGGAGGAAGGTGTCATGCTTGGCAAAACAGAGGAAGAGGAAGACTCTCAAGGAGATGGGTGGACACCCTGGATGCAGGCATGGGTTCAAGCATGGTTGTGAGGAGGGCGAGGGGCCAGGTGGTAGTTCACACCATGGTTCATGGGCCACTGTGAGTTGGAACACCAGCATGTGCTCTCTACTCCTCAACTGAAGGATGCTGAGCTTTGAGTGTACAATGGCTCATGCCACCAGCACGCTCCTTTTTAGAGCCAGTCTCCAACTGTATAAGCCCTGGTGGCACAGCGGTTAAGGGCTCAGCTGCCAACTCGGCTGTTCAACAATTATGTGGACCCACCAGCCACTCCACTGCTCTGGGGGAGAAGGACAGGGCCGTCTGCTTCTGTGGAGATCCGCAGCCTAGAAGCCCTGGACAGCAGTTCTCCTCTGTCCTTGAGGCTCACTACAGTCAGAGTAGCCTCCCCTGTGCGAGTGCCTCTCGGGCTGTGTCACCGTTCCCCTGTTGCTGGATTTTACGAGATGAGCTGGACATGCCCCCTTACGCTGCCCTCTCCAACAAATTTTGTTTATAAATTTCTTCCTTTATGCAGTTGGTTATAATCCCACGTGGGAATGGGCTCTCTCTGTTAATGAGAAAGGCTCAGAATAGGGGGTGCCTTAAGCCAACCTCTTTTGAGAGCTAAAGGAGCTTCAACAAGCAAGCAAAGAGCAGAGATGGGGAAACAGAGGTGCCCAGCCTCATGAGATTCTGCCAGGAGCAGCAGAAGCTTAAAGAGACAGAGACTGCCCTCCAGAGCTGGCAGGGAGAGAGCAAGCCTTCCCTGAAGCCCAGCCGGCAAATGCAGGCTCGTAGCCTCCTGAATGGTGAGAGAAGACTTCTCTGTGTGCTGACGCCACCCATTTGTGGTGTTTGTGCTGGGGCAGCACTAGATAACGAAGGCGGAATTCAGCACTGAGATGCGCAGGGGTGTTAACTAACACATACTTGAAATGTGGAAGTGGTTTTGGAACTGGGCAACGGTGGAGGCGAAAAGATTTTGAAGGCGCCCAAACATAAAAGCAAGCCTATTGCCTTGAAGAAGGAGAATTGTGGACCTCAACGTCAGAAGGAGGTGAGGAGTCCTAAAGAAAGTCTCCGTTGGTTTCGTGAGTACACACGGCTGCACCGTCAAAGGAAGGCGGGCAGATGTGTGGGTGCTGCGCATGCTTCTCGGTGAACCTCTAAAAGGAAATGATGACCCTGCAATTGGGCAATGGAGGAAGCGCGGTGCTTTTTATGGAGTGGCAAAGAACTGGTCTGCCTTAGGTTCAAATCTTTGGTGGAAGAGAAACCTTGTGATGAAGTTGGAAATCTGGCTGAGGAGATTTCTAAGCAAGATCCTAGAGGGACCGACTGTGGTTCCTCCTTGCCACTGTAGTAAAGGCAGCAGGAAAGAGGTGGACTTGAAAACAAGCCACGCTGAATGACAAAACCCAAAGAGCTAGGAAATCCTGAGGTGTTCATCAGGACAAGTTACGTCGTAGTTCTTTCACAGCTGCTAATAAGTGCCCACAGGGGCAAACCACTGCAGTGTGAGCCTCACCCCCAACGAAGGCAGTCGGCTCAAAGCTCCGTGGACCAGCACACCCAGCTCCCCGAATGAGGTGCTCGGCGACACCCCTCTCCATCCAGTAAGCTTGAACTCGAAGGCGCTCAGCTCCACACCCATGGGTCATCAAGGCCAACGTCTTCAATTGAGAGCCCAGAAGCACACCCCTCTGCAAGCCAGCCTCCTGCATAGAAGCGCTCCGCTGCTCCGTAGGCTGGGAAGCCCACCGCTCTGTTCCGTGCTCGGCACCTGGCTATGCTGCTGCTTCCGAGATGCCACAGCTGTCTTCAGGATCCGGGAGGGTCTTGGGCCCAAGCCACACACTCTCCTTCTGGCTTTTGCTATTAATGAGACTCCTCCTCCTGCTTCTCAGAGGACTCACTTGATACACAACATAGGAATCCTGTTTGAAATCACTCACAGGTGAATCCTATCAGTATCCGCCCCCCCACCACCTTCTTACCAGACCCATAAGGAAAAGGTACCCGTAATCTGATGTCAAGAGTTAGGGATTTCAGCCAGAAGAGCCACATTAAATATTCACTCCCCCAGCATGTGATACTTCAGTCACTTCACAACCTTGTCAACATGTGATAAGATCTGCCCTGTCCGTGTTCGTCATTCCAGTCGGTGTGTGGAAACATCTCATTGCATTTCCCTGGTGACTCATGATCTTGAACTGACATCTTTGCTGCGGTATCTATTCAGACAGTTTTCCCCTGTCTTTACTGGGGGCACTTGTGTTTTGCTTATTGAGATGTACTTCATTTATCCCAGGCGCAAGTCTTTTATCTAGAAATATCCTCTGCACATATTTTCCCCCTGCCTGTGGCTTTTCGTTTCCGGTGCTCATCAGTTTGTTTGAAAGAGCAGCATGGGATTTTGATGGCGTCCAATTTACTTGTGTTCTTTTATGGATTGTGCTTTTGGTGGTCTATCTACGACAAGCTAATGCTCTGCCGATAGAGTCGCTGTGTGTATGTTTGCCGAACACAAGGTCACACACATTTCCTCCCACGTTGTCTTCTAGAAGCCTATAATCCGCTCTGAGTTGTTTTGTGCATTAAATGATAAATTGTGTACCCAGTTCAGTTTTTTTTTTAATTTTTACCCCATGTGCAGAAGGTGCCCTGCTAAGCTTCCGCCATAGCCCCTCCTCTCTCCCGCTCTTGGTTCCGTTTTGTATTTGTGGTGGAAGGCATGTTCTTCCCCTTTTGCACCTGGAATTCCATGGCTCATGACCTCGGGTTGAAAAGACCATCTTTCTTCCCACTGAACTGCCTTCACCGTGTCCTCAAGTCTGTTTCTGGACCATGTTATGGTCCACTGACCCCCCGGCTGGTCTCAACTCCCTGCCATCCAGTCAGTGCTGACTCCTAGGGTGAGACCCCCCTCGCCCCGCCCCGTGGGTTTACAAGACTATAGCTGCTGACGGGAGTAGAAAGCCCAGCCTTCCTCCCCAGTGGCATCTGATAGGAGTCCTTTAATTTTCGTTTGTCTTGTCCAGTGGTTTGACCGTTGGAGATCTTTTGCATTGACTTGGGAAATCTAGAAGTCACTGTTCCCCATCTCTTAGTGTCTCCTGTGGCCTGACCCCCCAGTTCTTGTCCTGCCAGCCACCGTTTCAAAAATGGTGACCTGTTGGTTTGTTCGCTCCTTTTGCCTTTGAGGGTCACTGTGGTTTCCCTTTGCTTCGTTGTGGTCAGAAGCAGAAGGCCAACATTTTTACTTATGTTTTTTAATTCAGTACTTTTGTTTTTCTTTTTTGCTCTTTTGATTCCTCGTTTGTGTATCCCCAAACTGGGAGTTTAGTTATATTTTTAATATTATTTTTAAAAAACAACTTTTCATTACAAGCTTGTAGAAGGTTTTACAGAACAGATTAGTAGTTTTACATTTGGCCGCTCAGACACATTCTGATTCAACTCATCCGGCGGAGCCCCATCCCCACGCTTATCCCGCTGTGTTTCCCGCTTGTTGTCGTTAGAGGTTATTGAGTTGGTTCCGATGCAGAGGGAGCCGTCCATACAACACTGCTGTAGTTGTCCCTACACCTGAGCCTGTTGTTGCAGCCACGGTGTCCATCCATAGCCGTCTTCCTGGGGCTCTTCCTCTTTTTGGCTGCTCCTCTACCTTAGCAAGCATGATGCTTGTTCCCAGGGACTGGTCTCTCCTGACAACCTGTCCAAGGATGTGAGACGAGCTCCTGTCATCCCTGCCTCCAGGGAGCACTCTGTGTACTTCTTCCCAGGCGAGCTGTTTGCTCTTCCGGCAGCCCACGGTGTTTCCAGTATTCCTCACCAACCCCATAATTTGAATGGATCCAGTTTCCTTTGGCCTTCCTTAGTTCATGTCCAACTTTCCTGTTTGGAGGTTATTTATTAAAGGGCTCAGAGCCCCACCAGCTGTGAGCCCCTGTTCCCACTCGCACTTGAGCAATTCAGTCTAACTGTGCGGGTGGGTGGCTGTGTAGTGGCTCCCTGTGCACACAAGTGTCCCAGTTTTGTTCGCCCATGTGGCAGGCCCATGGCTGCTGAGCTTGGCGATGCAGTGAGCACCCTGGCCCATGTGCGTACCGCACCTTCAGCGGGAGGATTCCCAGGGGTAGGGTTGCTTCTCAGAAACCAAGAAGAATGCTTGGGGCTACTGTGTGGCTTCTCTTGGGACCTCCTCACAGGTGGGGAGGACTTTGTGTGTCTCAGGGCCTCTGGTAGCAAACATGAGGGTGGGGGTGAGGGGGAGCAGAATACCAAGCCAAAGTGGAGAGGCCTTCTGGATGCTCTCCAAAGTGGTGACTGGCGGAGCTGGCTGGGGCATTGGGCTTTGAGGCGGTGAGGCACCCTGCTAGTGGGCTTTGGGTTTCTTTGCTCAGATCCAGTCGAAGACAGTCACCCAGTGCGTGGAGTATTACTATGTCTGGAAGAAGATGATCAAGTTTGACTGTGGCCGGACCCCGGGGCTGGAGAAGAGGATCAAGAGGGAGCTGGAAGAGGCTGAGAGGACAGAGGAGAAGGTGAGGGCAGTGGGGGAGAGGGCAGACACATGTGCCCTTCTGACCCCATGTCCCTGAGGAGAGTGGGCAGGTAGCACCTTCCATTCCCTTTATCCTCTCTGCAGGTCACGTGCAGCCCAAGGGAGCGACTCACACACCGTCCAACTCCTGAGCTAAAGATAAAGACCAAGAGTTACCGGAGGGAGTCCATCCTCAACTCCAGCCCCAACACAGGCCCCAAGAGGACCCCTGAGGCACCGGGGGCCGTGGAGGGCCAAGGTGTCTTCCCCTGCAGAGAGTGTGAGAGGTACGGGCCCCTGTCCCAGGGGGCTCACACTGACCCCACCCCCTTGTCAGTCAGCACTGGGCTCCAGGACTGACCAGCCGCCCCCACCCCGCTGCCTGCAGGGTGTTCGACAAGATCAAGAGTCGGAATGCCCACATGAAGCGCCACCGGCTGCAGGACCACGTAGAGCCTCTGGTCAGGGTCAAGTGGCCGGTGAAGCCCTTCCAGCTGAAGGAGGAGGAGGAAGAGGAGGAGGAGATGGGGACTGACATTGGCCCCCTGCAGTGGTGAGGCCTATCCAAGGGAGACCCTGACCAAGGGGTCCTCACTTCCCCCCTGCCAGCCCAGCTAGCAAGCTTGCCTTCGTGAGAAGCCCTCGTGGCCGTCAGACAGCTGGGGCGATTTGAGCCAGGGCCAGAGGACCGTCAGTCCTCCTCCCAGAGCACAGGGTGGGAGGGAGGGACAATGTGACATCTGCGGCCTCCCTCGGGGGTGGCAACTACACTGTTATTACGCACCTCCCCACTCCACCCTCCAGTGTGGAGACTCAGCGGGCAGTGCCTTCTGGCCCGCCCCATCCTCCCTGTCTGCTTGGGCACGTGACCACTCCTGAATTTTCTTCCTCGCCCAGTGACTTGTACATTGTTAGGTCATTGTTGTTTGTTTTTGTTTCTTTTGTATGCGTCTCCTTGTACATTTTATTAAATTGGGTTCTTGAGCAGCTGGCTTCTGGCTTCTCTAGCCTGTTGGTCCTACAAGGGCTTGGAGCACCGGCCCATGCCAGGGTAACACGCGAGCAAGAGGGGTCTCTGTCCTGGGGGGGCTGAGGCCTCGGGGGCGGGAGGGAGGCAGGGCTGTGCAGATGAACCCATATCTGCCTTCAGTAGAGCACTGCTAGCACAGTGCATTGAGCATCGGGCAGCTAACTTGAAAGGTCAGTGGTTGAAAGCCGCTGGCTGCTCCGCTGGAAACACGGAAGCCATCTGCTCTTGTAAAGATGGACAATCTCAGAACACCGCCCCCCCCAGATCAGTTCACTTCTGCCCTACAGTTTGGGATGGAATTAGCAGTGGCGGGTTGGCTAGGTGGGGTGGCAGCAGGTGCTGGGGGCAGTGGCGGTTCACGTGGTGTTCACGTGGTGTTCGGTGCCGTTGAGTCTGTTCTGATTCAGAGCAACTCTGTACACAAACCACACAGTGAAACACGGCCCTGTGCCACCCTCCTTGCTGCTCATAGGTGGGAGCCCATTGTTGACGGCTACAGTGTCCACCATCTTGTCCAGCACCTTCCCCTTGTTTGCTGCCCCTTAGCTCCACCAAGCATGCTGGTGGCATGCTGGTCCAGTGACAGACTTCACTGTCCCCCCTTCTCCATGGGAGACCGGCCTTAAATTCCCAGCCACCACCTGTCCGTCACAGGAGATGTGTGTCTTGCTAGGAGGCCAACCCGATTTCACCGACGCTTCCCACCTAAGCTGGCCTAGGAGGAAAGGCCTGTCCATCCGCAGAAAGTCAGCCGATGAATCCCAGCAGTGGGACCCAATACCCACCACTCAGGGCTGCCACAGGACCAGGAAGTTTCGTTCCCTTGGGTGTGGGGTCTCCACGAATTGGGGGACCAACTCACAAGCATGCAGACAGCAGGACCTTAGAAACAACACAACACATACACTCCCTGGTCTCGGTAGTAGATGGACTGTAGGGAACCAGAGTGGAGAGAAGGCTCAATGGTGAGAGTCGATGGGTGTGGGCCAGCGAGTGTGCCTCTCAGGGCTGAATCCTGCAGACTTGGAGGTGGACTGCAGGTCAAGGGAGACAGGTGGGAGGAACGGTGGATCGAAGCTTCAGGTAGGCTTTTGGGGCTCAGCAGTGGCCCCTAAAGGCAGCAGAGCAGGGTGATCTATCTCTTTGGCCTAGGTTCTGAGCAGGGCAGGGTGTGAGGTCAGAAGGTTCACAGGGGGCCAGTGGAATAGGAAGGAGGTGGATTCAAGCAGCGGGGGCTCTCGGGTTAAAGGGAAAAGCTTCAGGCATCTGAGGACCCTAAATGTGCATCCCTACCTTTGTTGAGACCCTGGACAAGTCACTGCTCCCACTGGGGCCTCCTTTTCCTCATCTGTAAAATGGAATGAAAAATGCCCGCTCCCCTCACGTATGCCTTTTTGGAGAAAGTGTAAGTTAATTGTGTGGCAGTGGGGGACCTCACATGAAACTTTGGTTTCTTGGGCACCCGGCTGTCGGTGCTATTTCCCAGGGTCCACCTGAAAGAGTTCATGAATTTTAGGGGTCTGGAAATGAAGACGTTAACTTAATATGGTATGTGAATTATATACCAATAAAACTGTTCAAATTTACATAAGATTTTGGCCTAAAGGGCTGCGGGTGGAGGGTTTTATTAGCTATCAGGAGTGCTGCTGGTGCAGTGGGCAAACCCGGCTGTTAGCTGAAAGGCTGGCACTTTGAACCCACCAGCTGCTCTGAGTTATTGGCATGACTCTTGCTGTTGGTTACCTTGATCATCCAACTTGGTCAGGTGTTCTGCACTATGAGGGTAACTCTATTTTCTACCTTTTCCATTCTGTCAAGAGCCCTGTGGTGGCACTGTGAGTAAAACATTGGACCACACATCAGCCATCCAAACCCACCAGGTGCTCCAGAGAAAGATGAGGCTGTCTGCTCCTGAAAGGACTGAGGGACACTATTATGTTAGACCGGGTTGAGTAGAGAAACAAATTCAGTGATACGCATGTGTAAGCAAGAGCTTTATATGAAGAAGTAGTTGTCTATCAGGAAAACATCCCAGCCCAGTCCAACTCGAATCCCTAAGTCTGCTACTAGTCCATAAGTCCCTCTTCAGACTCATGCAGCCACATGCAGTGATGCAGAGTGCAGGAAGATTGCAGGCCGGTGGGTGCAGAGTCACGTGGATCCAATGGTGCAGCAACCAGGGGTTCCCAGGGCCCTCAGAAGGCCACACCCATGGGGAGGTACCATCATCAGGCTGTGGCCTGGTTGGCAGGTTGAATACCACCCCTACACTTTTTAGTATCTTTAAGTCAACATGAGTTATGTAACTATCACATCTACATGGGGTTGCTCAGAATTGACTCAATGGCAGTAGGATTTATCATTCTGCACACTTTGGAAGGAAGTCCTGATAAGCAGGGGGCATTAAGCTCAGCCTCCTTGAGCATGAAGTAGCAAGTTATTTGGAATTCTGTACAGGAAATTTGCTTATTCTCCCCACTGATATTTATTTATTCAGTCATTTACTTACCTTTGCCCCAGAGTGACAAAAACAGTTATGGCTCTCAGTTACTAGCCAAAAGGTCAAAGGTTCAAGTCTACCCAGAGGCATCTCAGAAGCAAAGCCTGCCAATCAACCTCCAGGAACTCAGCCATTGAAAACCACACCGTTCTGTTCTGACGTACACGATGTCACCAGGAGTCCGACTAACGGGTGGCTACTGGTAGTAGTGGTGCTGATTGATTTTGCACCTGGGGTATAAAAGCCAATGCTACTTAATTTTGTTACTCAAATCATTCCAGCTTTGCCCACTGGGAGCCCTTGCAGTTGGCTCTGGGTCCCCTTTGACCATCTTCCCTGCCCCCTGCG